CTTACTAGGTCGTAAATGTGGTTGTTTGTATTGAAATTACATCTGGAATCTGTATTTTTATTATATCGTGCATAATAAAAATATATATATATAAAGGAATATTATTATGGATTTTTTCTAAATGAAAACACAAAATTGTTTCTCTGAAATACAAAGAAACGACATTTAATGTCCACTTATCTATCTTTTTACACTATAATCCACTAAATTAATTTACACGTCATCCGCCATTTTATCGCGTGTCACTCCGACGCGTCAAATTCAAATTAATGAAATATCATTCCATTACATCTCCCCCCTAAGAGAAAAAATTCTGAATAATATATCTACACACTATACTTAATAGCTATCTTCATATTCGTTTTCCTTATATTTCATCTTCTTCAGATTCTGTTGTAACCGGTTGTAATTTTGTTATGTGGAACAAAGTTGATTCTGTTTTTCTGTTACCAGTGTCAATCCTATAAATGGAGTTCGATATTTTCCCTACTATCTTAAAAGGACCTATTTTTAATTCGTCTAATTTCTTTCTATTCAGTCTATTTCCATTCTCAACATATACACTGTCGCCTATATTAAACTCTTGCATTTTTCTTTTTCTATCAAATATTTTCTTATTGTACTTGTGGGATTTTATTGTATTTTCTAATGCCAATCTTTTATCAGCAATCCACTTGTCTTCTCCTTCTATTATTTTTAATTCATTTGGTAGAATGCTGACATTTGTACCATCCAGTAAATATTTTGGTGCAAAACCTGTAACGGAGTGTTCTGTTTCATTATATTTCTCTACACATTCTCTTGCCACTGTTGTCCATGTTCTCTTATTATTTTTCTCATTTATTCTACATCTTATTTTATTAACTATTGTTTGATTTAACCTTTCATTCAAGCCATTTGAGAATGGTGTATTCACAGCTGTAAAAATTAATTTAACATTATTTTCATGTAGATATTGCTTAAATTCTCTTGAATTGATGCCTGGATATTGATCTGTCAAAATTATTCCAATCTCATCTGTTTCTAGTACATTCTTTGTTAGTTTTATAAAATCACTTGCATTCTGTGTTTTTGACGTCACAATAAATGCATATCTTGTATAATGGTCTACTAAAAGGTGTAGGTACTTTTTTGTTGATCTAGATCCTCCAAAGCCACCTATAGTATCCATTGACATTATCTCAAATGGTTTTGTTGCTGGTCCCAGTTGTGACATTAATCCAAATTTTCCTTGACCTCTTGATTTATTTTTTATGCATATTTCACATGTTTTACAAATATTTATGATATTCTTTGTTAGGTTTTTAGCTGTGTATATTGGACTTATTTTTTTCTGCAATTGTCTGATCCCAATATGGCATAAATCTTCATGCACCTTTTTGATAAGTTTCTTACTAAATTCTTCTGAGAGGATAATCTTTTCATGTTTCTTTATTTTCTTATAATATATTGTATTTTTTTGTATTAGATTTTCTTTATTTTCTTCTATTGTTTCATTTTGCTCTTGATCTTCAACTATATCCTTTATTTGTATTATATTAACTATTTTCAATAATTCCTCTTTGTTATCTTCTGATTCTAATACAGGATTTCGGCTTAAACAGTCTGCTTCTACATTTTCTTTACCAGGTATATATTTTACCGTAAAGTCGTATTGAGACAGGTAGTATGTGACATCACCCAATTCTTCGTCTGTCCTGCATTTAATGTTCATGTTTTCTAAAGGTTTGTGGTCTGAGTAAATAGTGAATTGTTTTCCAATGAGCCAGTGTTGCCAGTATTTGACTGCTTCTTTCATAGCAAAACATTCTAAGTATATAGCTTTTTTCCGTTTTTGAGATTCATTCAGTTTTTTTGAAAAATATGCTACTGGTTTGTCATTACCGTCCAGTTGTGTTTGTTTTAATATTGCTCCGATACCCTCTAAGGATGCATCTGTAAAGATTTTTATTGGTAAGTCTTTGTCATATATTTCCAATACCGGTTGAGAACATAAATATCTCTTTATTTGATTAAATGATTCTTCACACTTCTCTGACCACACAAACTTTTCGTTTTTTCTTAATAATTTATGTAATGGATCTAAGATAATCGCGCTCCTTGGTATGTATTCATGGTAAAAGTTAATTTTTCCCAAAAATTGTCTGATATTCTTTTGTGTCTTCGGAGTTGGAAAATGTTTTATCGAAATCAAATTATCTTTTAACGGTCTTACCGAGTTGTTTTGAATTACATGGCCAAGATACTTTACTGAGTCTGAGGCAAAGGTACACTTCATAAACTTCAATCTAAAGCCTTCTTTTATTATTGCCTCTAATACATTTTTTATGTGTCTTATATGGTCCTCAAAAGTAGAGGAGTAGATTAAAATGTCATCAATATAATTTACAGAGTATCCTGTGAGATTGTGCTTTCTCAGAATATTACTTAAAACTCTCTGGAAAATTGCTGGTGATGTTTTTAAACCAAAAGGAAGGCAGGTCCACTGAAAATGGCCATCTTGTGTGACAAATCCTGTTTTATATCTATCTTCCACCCGTAGTGGTATGGCCCAAAATGCTGAGTTTATATCAAGAGTAGTAAAATACTTACAATTTCTTGTCTTAATAATTAAATCATCTATTAATGGGAAAGGTTGAGCTTGTGGTACAACAATTTTGTTAAGTTCTCTAAAATCTATACATAATCGAGATTTTCTATTTTCACCTTTTTTAAATGCTAATGTCACTGGCGCAGCAAAAGGACTGTAAGATTCTTCTATTAAATTATTCTTTAGTAATCTGGATATTTGTTCTTCGATTTCTAATTTATCTTCTATCGTACATCTGTATGGTCTTTTACTACAGTATGTATTTACAAGTAAGATTTACATGTGAGCTTCATAATCTTTAACTGATCCTATATCATACTTGTCCCTAGCAAAAATAGTTTTATATTTATTTATAACTTCTTCTATCTCAATTTTCTTTTCTTTATCTAAATGATCTGTCTTACTAACAAATTCCTCTGTTTCTATGTGTTCATTGAAATTTATTGCATATATTTTTATATTCTTATCTTCATTTCTGTTATCTTTAGACATCCTGTCTATTTTCCTTTGTTCTATCTGCAAGTCCTCATTTTGGATTAATTTGAACTTCTTTATCATATCCAATCCGATTATAAAATCCTCAAAATCTTCATTTTCTACTATATATATATCGACCTCTTCTTCTAAATCAAAGATTTTTATTTTTATTGTTATCAAGCCATCTGTCTTCTTCACACCATTAACCGTTTTCATATATGTTATATTCACATTGTCTTTTTTTTCTTTTACTTTAATCAATCTTGAATTTATTAAAGAGATCTGTGAGCCTGAATCATAAACACCGCTCACTTCTAGTTTATTTTCTAATAATAGCTTGATTTTGATTAATGGTGTACTTACTCGTTTTTTTTCTCAGTATTCATATCTACTTCAATAATCGAATTATTATTTACATTTTTGGCTTTAAAAACCTTTTCAGATTCATTTTTATTTTTCTTGAACCAACATAACTCCTCCGGATGATATCTAATTCCTTTGTCCAAAGATTCACAAGTCTTACATGGCTTCTTCTCATTAATTTTATTTTTATAAGAATATATATTCTTTGTTATAGTTGAGTTTTTCTTGAAAATCATACATTCATATTTTCTTATCTCGTTGAACAAATCAGTAGTGTTGTTGAGTTCGTCCCTGTTTAACTTATTCAAGATAAAACTAGGTAAACCAGTTGCAATTAGATCTATCATTGTTCTGGAATCTATCGATTTATTTATATCTAGTATAAGCCGTTCTTTTTTTATAGCATAATCAATTAACAGCCCGTCTTTATACTTGAATGTGAAAGCAGTTGTGACTACATCCCACCCTTGGTTCCTAAAAGTTTCTAAAAATTTGTCTTTCCATTCATTCCATTCAGAATTTACTGATAGTTTAATTACCATCGAGCTATACCAATCCAAACTGGAGTTTTCTAAAAATAATCTCAATATATCTATTTTTGTTTCATCTTTTGTTATATTAAAACGCTCACACTCTTTTTCAAAATTCTCTATCCATTGCACTGCATTAGGATTCTTACTTGTGAATTTTTCGATAATAAATTTCTCTGAAACATGTTTTAAATTATGTTGATTTTCTTTTTTTGTTGTAGATTCTATTAATTTTTCCAGGATATGTTGCAAATTATCATCATTGCCTCTTGGTTGTTTTGTGCTCATTTCCTCTAAATATTGATCTAAAAATTGCATATTACCTTCCTCATCTATATATGTTTTCTTTAGATCTTCATCTAATTTTACCCATATCTTTCTGCTTTGGTGCCTTTTCTTTATACTATTTTTTATTTTTGAAAAAGTGTTCAATTTAACTATATATGTATGATGAATCACCGGCTTCAATTCATCAGGTAAAACATAACATTTTCCTTCTTCTGTCAATATTGAAGTTATGGCCAATATATTAGATTTGCCATCGATTGAGGCCATCATCGTGAACTCAAATTGCAGCCGGTCCATCTTCTTTTAGTTAACAAAAATGTCGTTTTATAAAGGAATATTATTATGGATTTTTTCTAAATGAAAACACAAAATTGTTTCTCTGAAATACAAAGAAACGACATTTAATGTCCACTTATCTATCTTTTTACACTATAATCCACTAAATTAATTTACACGTCATCCGCCATTTTATCGCGTGTCACTCCGACGCGTCAAATTCAAATTAATGAAATATCATTCCATTACATATATATATATATTTTCATAGAATAATCCAATGACTTTAAAATGAGAACTAGGGTCATACAATGACCCTAAAATAAGCATAATTTACGCCGAATTAAATATAGAAGTCCACAATATCTCGCCAATTATAATACACTTAAAAGTTATTTGCTAAGATGTAAAAACTATTAAATATAAACCTCTTTCAGTACGTCTTAAGAAAGTAAGTTTAAGTACAAATAACTTACCATTAACTTTGAGAAATATGAGTTTGCTAAGCCCAGCTCCGATGTCGTTTCTCGCTTCACAAAGGTAATGCCCCTCACTGTCTTTGGCCACTCGTTCGAAGACCAGCGAACCATTCTCAAGAACCCTCGAGCTGCCTTCAAACATGAAGTCCTTGTATTCCCCCGGTGTATTACCTGCAAGATTTCAAAATTCGAAACATTCGAAATCCATTCTAAATTTAAATTTCGAATATTTAAAAACGAAGAAAGACAGACTATTTGAGGAATAGCTGTCCTTATCGCTGTTATGTATTTTTTAAATTAACGTGACAAATGTTTTAGAATTGTCTTTTAGAATTAAGAATAATATTCTTAATTTAAATTATATAAATGAAGTATATTTTTGCTTGTGTTTGTGAGGCATTTATACATGTGTGAGTAGACACGAGTCTAGTTGTCTATGCTTGTTATTTTGTGTCAGAGTTATTTTGTAAGTCCTTTTATAAATTCCATTTTCATTGATATGAAATATATTTGCTTTGAAGCTTATATAAAGCCTTTGCCCGGTTCGGTCCATTACTAGGTTTCTAGTATTACTTTGAACTGTTACTTAAAATGAAAGTATTGCAATATTACAAAGAGAAACTTGTTGCAGTTTCATTTCAATTCCTTTATTCGCTTTCTGTTATAAAGTTACTTTTACATTTAGAGTTTATAGAAGATTTAAAATTTTATAAGAAACGAGAGATTGACCGAGTTTGTTCGCGTAAGCATAATGAAAAGTTTTTTATTATCTATTATCTTTTTTTATGTTTACGTTTACTCTGTGAATATGAATTGAGCCATGTTCGAAATTTGAATTTCGTTTCAGCCAGTTTAATACTTGATCATAAAAAAGAAATAACAGTAGATACTTTTTAAATTGACAATTGATGACGGCCGTATTTGCTTTTAAAACTCTTTTCAATGTTACGCACATAAAAGGATTACCCTTAATACACTATGGTTTTAGAATTGGTAGGTATAGTATTTTCTAACAGAAAAAGATCGTACGAATTGTGAAATACCTCCTTCGGGTTTTTTGTCGGTTAAAACGCTTAATTAAATGTTTATGATATATTTGGAATCCAATGAATATTATGTCTTCCATGTTTTACATTAGAGAAATATTGATATTAATGTTGTAGAAAAATATTAATTTCGAGAATTTCTTCTAAAATGAATAAATACAATAAATTATTTACAGATATTTTTCTTTATTAATACTTACCAACAGCTTTCTTCCATGTAATAATGGGTCTCGGATATCCATCTGCTTGGCATTGTAGAGTGACATCTTGACCTGATGCTACCGCTATGTCATTTGGCTCAAGCCTCCAGCGAGGTGGAACTAAAATATGTTTTACAAGCGAAGTATAAAATTTTTGTCTTAAAGCTTTCTTGGTTAAGGGGAATAAATTAAAGAGTTCAGAAATTTTATGAAAAAAACCATTGCATTCCTTTTTTAAAAAATGTACAAACATTTGAACGTCACTAAAACTTGTATAATCTATGGAATACTCTATGGATATTTTCAATTACCATTAACAGTTAGCGGCACAGTGAACCGCTCGGAGCCGGCGACATTAGAAGCGATGCATGTGTAATTCCCGCTATGAAGGGACGTTATGTGTTCAATCACAAGAGAGGCGCTGTACTCGTCCATTCGCCTAGTAATAATCCCGCTAGGCGCGTACGGCGATGACGTCACCGCCTGCCCGTTTTTCTCCCACCGGAAGGCAATCGGCAAATCACCCTCTAGTATCTGACATGAGATAGCGGCCCGCATTCCCTCCCTCAGTAAATTTGTCAAAGGCTGTATGGGCAATATCTTTGGCTGAACTGAAAACAAAAGTATCGTTTAGTCCCGATAAAGGATTTGGCATAGCACCAGAGGCTTGTATAAATTGCACCGTGTAATTAATTGGAATCGTAAACGTAAATTGTAGGTAAGATTTTTACATTTTATTATCCTATTAGGGTATGCGGTGGGAACAAGCGAGAAAAGTTTAATGAATAACGGATGAATAACTTCACTCCTCAGGTTTTATGAAGCGGTTTTTAGCTATAAAAATGTGTACCACAATCGAGGCAACCACCTTGAATTACGAGCCAAGCCTCGTGTATATATAATAAAGTTATATCATTGAGTTATGTAACCTAAGTTAAGTTAAGTTAGATATTTTAGTTAATAATGAAGCGCAAACCAAATGTTAGCAATCTTACAATTATAGCCAATAAATTGTATAACGTCAGTTTTGGTAACAGCCCTTTAGTGTTTCATACACTCATATATTGTAATAAAACAGTCTCGTTTCCGATAATGTCCAATGGGTAAAGACTTATATTCTTAATAGGTAACAGATGTGTCACTTAGATTTAAGAACCCATACATAAGTCAAGTACTAACTTGACTGCGTACGTAAGTACGCTGGACTAACAATAAACTATTTTTGTTAGTCTAGCGTTGCAACCCCCCACTACCTATTTTTGTGTTAGCTCATGTTTTAAAGGCTTAAAGCTAAGTGTCACCAGTTGTCAGTTCAAACAAAGTGCTTCATTTATTTGAACATCCCCTCAACAACCGCTACCGAACTTAATTGTTTGATTGAACTACTAAATATAACAACGAATAAATTTGAGGCTATTATAAATAAGTTTTCTAGTTTTTGCAGAACTGGGTTCGAGTCCAGCCCTGCGATTCTGTAACTCACTTTTCGAACTCACACAGCGGTTTTCGCATCGGCGGTCGCTCTGAAATCAGCCGTGAAGCAGTCATTTTATGATTTGGCATTCTGATAAACATACAGAGTTGCAGTTGCAAACATATAGAGTTGCAGTTGCAAACATGCAGTGTGAGTTCGAAAAGTGAGTTACAGAATCGCAGGGCTGTTTTATAAATATACAGAGGTAAAGCACGATAGCCAGGTTGACCTTAATCTCTAAGCTATTCAACATTATGGTACTCAGGGCCTAGTAAGATTGTTAAAGAGGAACCCATTGAATCAACGAATCAGTGAATATCATCTTCTTAGGGGCCTTCTCCTTACTCCAACTTAACCCCCCCAGCTCTCAAAAAACATAAATGCATAAACGTATTAATTTTTGTAGGAATCCTCGAAAATGCATTACGTTTTCAAGCATAGACAATGTGTGGGTAATATGTGTAAAAAAGTAAATAATTACTATTGACGTAATCACCAATTAAGATCCTCCTATAGAGCTTACGTAATACTTGAACAGCCCCTTAATAGAGACTGTATGACTTTAATATCACACATTCAAAACAATTGCCAAAACATTTAGTAATTCTAGTTCAAAATTAATATCTACCCAATATTTGAACTTCCACATCCCGTCTGGCAACATGACGTTGTCTGTTAGAGGCTTGACAGGTGTAGGTACCGGCGTCCTCGCCCCGCTGGGTCTGTTCGACGATTAATGTACCGTTCGGAAAGACTTTCTGACGGCGATTCAATGGCAATGTTTGGCCATCTGCAAACAATGCATATAATTGGAAGAAATATTTGATTAAATAAGTACAATAAACATAAAAGAGGAAGATGAAGAAGGTGGCTAGACCAAACTAAGGCCACAGCAGGTGGTACATGGCAGAGAGTGGCACAGCGCAGGAATGGCGGGATTGTGAGAAATCAAATTGGATTTGGTAAAGTATCTTAAATAAAAGGCTATTATTATTAAAGGTAAATTACCCTTGCGTCGCTAGTTAGTGCTAATGATTCCGGAAATACAGCTGGAAATAGTTTCGCAACGTTTCGTCGTAAAATATGATTATAAAAAGAAACAATGTTCAGGTTAAATAAATAATATTCTATCTATAAAGAAATGTATGAATTATATAAACCAGTTTCTAATTAAACATTTCAACAATTATAGGAATAAAAAGTTGTTAATTTGACAAAACGTATTAAATATCCCTCTTTTCGTGTTCCCAGATACCCTTAACAATTCCAAGGGATCAAAAAATATCTAAGAAAAATGTCGGACCATAAAATGCTTAGCCCGTTTAACAGAATTACTACGTAAGATCAAATTAAGGCTTCTCGGTCACTCCTCCGTAATTTCCTTTTCCGTAGACCCTTGTCAACAACGATCTTATACATAGTTTAGTTACTTTTGATAATTCCGTTGACCCTTTATTATAGAATTTATTTATTGCTTTTATCAGTCGGCGCCTAATCGAGCTCTCAAACCTACTATAAAAGCTTTTTAAAATAGAATCGTGATTGAATTTTACACTTAGTTATTACTTGCGACTTTGCGTGTTGTTCCCACGAGAATGTAAGTGCGTGCTCCTATTTTCACCATGCCTTCTGCTGATAGAGGACAAATATTTGTTTTTAATTTATTTTATTATTATTTACTACTTAAGATGTCATGTGGAACACGGTGTAATGGTTGCAGCTCCTTACAAACGTTGTGTAAAACAAAAAACTTGACGACTAAAAAGAGTGGCGGAGAGTTTATTGTCAGTTCTTTTCTTCCGTTCCACGCCCTTGATTTGAGAACTGGCAGTAAATGTAAATTTAGAAGCATTTAATGTGTATTTCTTTTTTTACGTTCATAAGTGTACATTGTGTTACCTGAATGATCTTTGACTTTGTGTAATATATTTTTTCGAACAGGGCTAAAACAGGTTCACCTGATATTATTTTTCTAGGTCTCGTTTTTAGATTAGCTAGATTATTTAGATTATTTTTTGATATAGCGTAAGTTTGTAATATTTTATATTTAGTATTTTATTAATACCTTAATTTAGTATTGTCTTTGATTTACATAACCTTTACACATTTAAAGAAAAAACTGTTTGACCGGATTGAAGTTATGTATTATTATAAATTTACAACTATTTAATATAATTTTAAATTTATCCGACGTTTCGCGTGCTTTACAGCGTGCGTGGTCACGGTGACTCAACTAAACGGTGAAACGTCGGATAAATTTAAAATTATGTTAAATAGTTGTAAATTTATAATAATACATAACTTCAATCCGGTCAAACAGTTTTTTCTTTAATACCTTAATTACTTCTAGTGTTAAATAAAAAATGTAACTAACTTTTTTCTTGCATTTACGATTGGCAAGCAGAAACCATTATCGCTGTTTGAAAGGCGTGAAGGAAAAATCACGTCGGCGATAACTTAAAAATTCCTTCCCCTAATTGGAACGTGCGAGCTCGCTCATGTTACATGTTGCCAGCCAATTTACTTTCGTGTAAGCGTTCTTGTTTAATAATATCGTTGTACTATTGTTATTTTAATTTACTTAGAATTGTCTTAGACCCTTAGTCTTGGCATCAGATTTCTGAATCTGTTTATTTTTAAATAGCCGTCAACACACTCTGGCATTGAGAGTCCATGGGCGTCTATCACTTATCAAAAGATAAACCATCTTCCCGTTTGTTCTATACAAAAAACAGCCTTTTGTACCTGACACACGCCATCGAATTTTTGGATCTAAGACTTGCCGGTTTTCTCACGATGTTTATCCTACTAGCAAGTATTAAATGCGCACATAGATAGAAGGTCTATTGGTGTACAGCCGGGGTTTTAACCTACGACTTCAGGGATGTCGCACGATCAAGCCACTAGACCAAAACTGTGGCGTGTTTAGAAGCAAATTATTTCGGGGAAACAGTACATCAGTTCATACATATAAAGATATGTTAACGAGAATTATAGACATGAGAGTAGGTTTAAATTTTAACAATAACTGCAAATCTAGATATTAAAAAAAAATATTCCAGTTAAGGATTCGATTAAAAAATATTATAGAGCAGTGCCCGAAAATTATTTTAGTTATAAGAATAATTTCGCTGGTTTAAACAAGTGTTAATTAATGGTATTTACATATTTTATACTTTAAATTTTTATAATAAATAATGTATTATAAATACGCTCATTAAACGAGTTTCATAATTAATGTATTTCCTTTTAAACGTTCGAAAAATGCAACAAAAATGGCAATAATATTCGTATCCAAGGTAAAAATACACGGATACTAGGATAACAAGAAAAAGGAAAATCTCTAACATCTTTAACCTAGTTTCTTAACCTGTTGCCGAGCCCCCTGACTTCCCCCGCCCAATTCGATACACTAAAGTGTCCTTCCGGGTACGATTAAACGGAAAATACGCAATTTGTACATTTTATCTATCGTACAAATAAGGATTGTAAATAGCTTTAAATTCAATTTTATGATACATTTATCAATTACTATATATCGTAGAAGATATCCCGCTACGCTCAGCTGAAAAACAAAAGACGATTACGATTAAAAAAATTAAATGGAAGTGGGCTGGGTATACCATCAGAGGACAGTCATATCGGTACACAGGTCACATGAAGAGGAAAAGGGGTAGACCATTCCTAAGGAAAAGAAATAAGAGCCGTCAGAAATTTATGGTGGCAATTGGTGGCCTTTGCAAACAGACAAGGTTTACGGGAATGTAAATATTCAACTATATTTAAGTTATTTTTTTCAATACTAAACATGTATTCTAGATTGGAGTAATATAGTATCTTGTGTGACACCACAGTCCACGGTCCGTTTCACAAGGCATTTTCTTTTGCATTTGATACGACCTCGAACTGTTCAAAATTCGAGTGTACTCCTCCCACAAAGGCCGGCAACGCACCCACCAAAAATGGGTGTCTATGGGCTGCGACGACTGCCCTTTTTGGGCGTCACACAGGCTCGTTTCCTATTATATATGAAAATAAAAAGAATAAAGGCTTATTTATTATTATTACGCTCGGCTCAGGCGGAACGTGACAATTAGTCATGTTTTACGTTATCACGTCCAAAACGTTTTTATACAATAATACCTGAACGATAGTAATACATATTGTAATACATAGATCTTCAAATTCGTATCATTTTCCGTTTGAAATCTTCTAATTAGGTACAGGTGCGCAATAAAGCTTTGTTAAAGGAGCTAGTACCGGGGTCGCTTATTTTCGTCATTACACGTGTCGAACATTAGTAGGTATTAAGTATTAATTATATTACACTGGTTTCCCTTGTTCCTGAAGTTTGCTAAGTCATACATAATTTAATAAATACATTTACGTTTCAAGGCAACGGAAAGGTATTATTAGGTTAAAACTTTATTAATTTTTTTATTAAATTACTCGTGAATACTAAATCATATTTGCGGGGTGTATGTTTTAAAAAGCTTTTAAGCCCAAGTGGGTAGGAGTAGGTAATGCGTAAATGTTAATCGCAATATTCAGTGGTGCATTTACCACAGTGTGAGTAGGCTGGAGTCTAGGGCGGCAAATTTTTGGGGCGGCAAATTTGAGAACGGATTTTTTGTGCTACCTCAGAAATCAAAAATATTTCTGCATGACGGGTTTCTAATGTTTTACATATAGAAGTCTGAAACTAATTCTGCCGATTACTTATCCATATTCAAGAGTAAAACAGCAAGTTCGCCGCCCCCAACCATCCTTTAGTCGATACCAACTCCGGGGAAATAAATAAAGACAATACAACTTTTTCTACAGCTGTGATACTTTTTGACATTCAACACCTTTTTTCTTCAGTCACCGTGACCACGCACGCTGTAAAGCACGCGAAACGTCGGTTAAATTTAAAATTATGTAAAATAATTGTAAATTTATAATACATAAATACAAAACTTCAATCCGGTAAAAAATTGTTTCCTTTAAATGTGTAAAAGTTATGTCAATAAAAGACAATACTATAAAAAACAAAAAATGTTGTCTAAAAAATGAAAATAAAAATGTAGGGGTTTGAAAGATACGATTCTCAGACTTACTGAATATGCATAAAAATCAGTCGAGCCGTTTCGGAGGAGTATGGGAACGAACATTGTGACACGAGAATTTTATACATTAGAAGATTGTAAAACTACCAACCTCTTTCCCATGTGATCGCTTCAATTGGATATCCAGCAACAGGACATTTGATATTCAAATCACTGCCAGCGACAGCTGTCACTTTCGGCATCTCACGAATATAGGGCAAACCATAGACGTTAACTCGGGCGGCGTGACTTGCTTTTCCCGCCGTGTTGGCGGCAACACACGCGTACTCGCCGCCATCTTGTTCTGTCACACGGCTGACGTTGAGATGGCTAACTACGTCGTCTTGTAGCGTCACGTGTTGACCTACGACGAACCTGTTCAATTAAAAAAATATTTAAAGAATTACTTCAGTATGTATAGATGTAAAATATAACGCAATCACACAAGCCAAGACTCAACTTGTTTCTTTCTGAACGACAAATTAAAAAATCATAAAATATTTTAAAATGTGTTGTATGATGTTTAATTGTTTAATATTAAAATATCATAGATTAAAGAGCTTTAATATTACTGTTTATAGTTACGTACTGAATTTCTTCTATTAATTCTACATAGAAACCTTGGAAAGACACGTAAATAGAAAGTAATGTTACAAATCCAATAGTGTTTATTTTGTTGACTTTATATGACATATAAATTTTTATATGACAGCTTACAAGCTACTAACTCACACGGACAAATTACAAGTAAATTATTAATAATAATATAGTAAGTATAAATAAGTTATTAATATATAATATGAAGATTGTACTTAATAAAAATTAATAGACTTAAGTGTTAGAAATGCGGTCAAGTCTACCGTCTTACCGAGAGTTAGTGGGTATAGGAAACCCGTCCAGTGTCCAGGTGAATTGAGGTGGTGGGTGGCCCATCGCCACACACTTAAGGGACACGCTTGGACCAGGTTGTAGGGTCTGTTCGGAGAACCAGTAAACTAGTTCTGGTTTTGATTCTGTAAATAAATTTAAAGTAAGATCTTTTAATATGTAAATATGTAGCTAAGTTTATGACGCATTTGATTTATATATGGTTTTTACTTTAATGTTTAGTTTATAAGAAACATATACACAAACACCTTAGATATGGACAGCATTTCTGTTTGTTTAAGTTTGTATATCTCTATTAAAAGCAAAGGTAAAAACAGCCAGTGAACTAGTCAATATATAATTGTGGAGTTGTATGGGTAATGCTACACGAAATTCCGGCTTAAACCACAGACTTGTATATTGTAATAGCAAACAGTAATGAGCCTTAACACAAAAGAATTTGCTTGTGTACAAAATAACACCGCCTCGTGGCGTATAACCAGAAGTTTCGAAGTCCGATTTTGTCTAAAAAGTCAAGACGTCAAAAATCATTTATTCATTTTTAACACAATGTACACTTATGAACGTCAAAAAAGAAATATACATTAAATACTTATAATATTTCATTTATTGCCAGTTCTCAAATCAAGGGCGTAGAACGGAAGAGAAGAATTGGCAATAAACTCTCCGCCACTGTTAACGTTGTGTAAAACAAAAAAACTTGGCGAGCTGCAACCATTACACCATGTTCTACATGACATCTTAAGTAATAAATAATAATAAAATATATTAAAAACAAAGATTTGTCCTCTATCAGCAGGAGGCATGGATAAAATACTCTACTAATAATAAAAAATAATAATTTCAGGCAAATTATAATTTGCAGTCTACATAGAGCTGGTCAAATCCGCCTGAAACAGGACAAGGCACGACCCCGTAAGACTCTGATAATATTGTTTTTCATAAATTTAAATATAATGCGGATTTTCTAACTTTGTTGTTCCGCTTTTATTGTGGATACTTCTCCGTTAATGGACGGAGGAAATATTACTTTATGAAACAGGAAAATTATACTCTGATGGCGTGTCATGAAAAATAAGGGCAATAATTAAATCCAATATGTTACTTTGTAATGTAAGGTAATTTTAATATGTTTAGCCTAAATAAAATTGATTTTATTTAGTAACACTTCGTTGCATACAGACATATAATACAATTGACATACTTAAATGTAAGGGAGGGCAACTGGCGGCCTTATCGCTTTCAAGTGATCTCTTCCAGGCAACCACTTCTCTTCCAGATTTTACGTGTTTTTCCAGGTAAAATAATAAATAAATCAGTTGGTCCACAACCTTTTTAGGTCTGGGCCTCAGGTTTCTGTATCTGTTTCATAATCATTTGTCAATTTGGCAAGATGATGATCAGCCTCCTGTGCCTGTCAGACGCCGTCGACTTTTTAAGTTCAAGGCAATCCGGTTTCCTCACGATGTTTTCTTTCACCGTTAGAGCGAATCTTAATGTTCGTTTAAATTAATTTTAGTTATTTCAAGTAATGTAACATTTATAGCCATTTAAAGATAACAAAATTAAGTCATATAATATATATTTGATTCCATGGAAGATGGGCCGGGTGCTGGTATGGGATGCAACCTGTTCAAACAAACTGGCTCATTCCCATCTACATGGAATAGAGTATTATCACTAAATAAATTCAAAGCCCGCGTTAAACGGCAATTAATTAATAAAGCGTTTTATAAATTTGAGGAATACTTAAATGATCCTAATCCTTGGGATTGATTTGCTCCAGTTCAAACAATTTGTATGACAATACTTGGCGATTAAAAAAAAGTGGCGGAAAGTTTCTTGCCAGTTCTTCTTACCCGCTCTACGCCCTTGACTTGCGAACTGGTAGTAAATGTAAATTTACAATTAATTTAACTTGACAATTCAAAAGTGTACTTGGTTACCCACTTGAATAAAGATATTTTGAGTTTGAGTTTGAGTTTGAACCAACAACAGAGTTGGTGCGGCTTGTGATGCGGCTGAAAACGCTAAAGCATGCAAATACAGGCTCCGAATATTATTTTTGTTCCATTCGGTGTCGAGACCCTTGGTCCGTGGGGTCCTAGCGCTATAAGGCTTTTTAAGGATATAAAAGGTTAGTCGACATCACAGGAGACCGAAGAGCTGGCAGCTACTTCGGACAAAGAATTGGTCTAGCTATTCAAAGGGGGAACGCTGCCAGTATCTTTCGGAACTTTGCCTAAAGGGACCCCTTTTAATCATATATTTTAGTTATTATATTTTTAGGTTCGTTATTGTTTTTAGTTAATCTAATATATAAAATTCTCGTGTCACAGTTTTCGTTGCCATACTCCTCCGAAACGGCTTGACCGATTCTCATGAAATTTTGTGTGCTTATTGTGTATGTCTGAGAATCGGACAACATCTATTTTTTAACCCCCTAAATGTTAAGGGTAGTCCACCCCTAAATTATTTTTTTTAATTTTTAGATAAATTACTTATTTTTTATTTTTTTATGATACAGCATTAAAAAATACATACACCCCTAACTTTCACCCCTCTACGATCAACCCCTATTTTTTTTATTATAAATGATATATGGCAAAACGACGTTTGCCCGGTCAGGTAAAATTGTAAATAAGTACTTTATCTTTGTTATGTAATCCACATTTTCACTTAAACCTCATTACATAGGCCGATGTATCAAAATAATAAGTGTATAATATGAAGTTACTTGTCTTCGACTATCATATAATATCTTGCACTACAAATTAAGATTGTTATTTATATAGTAAATGATGTTTGATTTAAGTTACTTTTTACGATGAATTAATTTAATTTGTATTAAGAAATCCCCGCTACGGCTTACCAATGTATTTCAACAAAATATGAAAAAATATTAACCTGATCATAACGTTCCTTTAATCTCGTTCAATTACTTAGAAATGTACAAAAGTAGAAAGTAAGTGGAAGTGAAATTTGAATGGACCACAAGCTCAACAATATTATATTGTAAACTAAATTGAATCGAAATAATTGTGTATAGAAATGTACTCGTAGCATTGCTAAACAGTGCGGTATTGTTTCATTTTGTGGAGTAATATTTGTACATTTCAAGCAACATAAATTAATCACAAGAGAGAACTAGTTGGCTGGGAAGTGAACAGATTTCCTATTAGTTAAATTTACTAATTATGACGTTAGTAGAGTTAAAGGGGAAATTTTGGAGCTATTTTTAAACATATGGCACACGTCATGAGTTTAAAATATATTTACGGTATTTCTTCAACAACAATGTTAAATTTCATGTAGAATTTTTGTTATTTTAAGAAGTTTATTATATTTTTAAGTCAACGGGTGCCAAAAATCAATCTGGAACTGTTTAGGCAAACACCTTTATGGCAAGCAAGGTTTACAATAATTTACCAAAAGAATTAAAAGATCTTCTGACGAGATTTAAAAAAATCGACTTGGTGTATTGCTTTTGGAAAAAATAATAATAAATTTATTTATTTCCTTTTTTTTAAAGATTTGCGTGAGGCACTGTCGTTGATATAAATTTAATAACGTATGATATGTACGATACAAATAATATAAGAATTGACCAATTCATATGACTAATAATGTAAAATTCCTTTAAAGACAAATTTGCGCGCCATTCTGCGAGAATATGCGAACTTATGATTGTAACATCTTACACATTTTTGTACCATATTCTTGCAATAAATAAATTATTATTAAAAATAATCACATAGGTTCATCAATTTATATAATTTCTCTTTGCAAATACAAAAAACAAAACACAAATCAGTAAAGCGTTTGAGTGGTACAAAGCATTTCAAACCACGCACGTGACACCTGACACTTTCCCTTAAACCAATCGTTTTAAAAATTATAAAACGCTGAAATTCTCGTAATATTTACAAACGCTGCGCGAAGCCGGCTTTTTTGTGCCTAATTTCAACATAATTATTTCAATATCTGTTACTGAAATAACCTAGAAATATTGAAATTACCAAGAAAAGCACTACACAGATACACGTGACTGGATCGCTATGAAAATTGGTGTGATATACAGAAACGAGGCAAGCAGTTAGCGATGATGTATGTCAAAAAGTGTTGAATTTTAACATATGGAGTCATAGTTCACGCTCAGTTCAGATTCTGACCCTTAAAATGGGTGGAACTCCCTTAACGTAGAACTACACGTGATAAAAATGCCTAACAAGTTCAATTTAGTTTACAATTTATTTTGTTGAGCTTGTGGTCCATTCAAATTTTTCTTCCACCTTTCTACTTTTGTACTAAGTAATTGAAACATACACGAGATTGAAGGAGCGTTATGATTATGATAGTATTTTATCATATGTTAAATGATTACCTGAACGCTCATTGAAAAATGAAGTTGACATCTATCTAGTACAACTAGTTTTCACAATCATTTATTCTTCTTAATAGGCAAGTAGGTGGTGAACCTTCTGCGCTTGACATGTGTTTGGATTTAATGCTTCCTCACTTTGTTTTCCTTCATCCTGCTAGCGTGTATTAACACATAGAAGGAATAGTCCATTGATGGACAGCCGTTCTTACACGGGACCATAGGGTAAGAGAAAGATTTTTATATAGAACTAGCGGACCCGATAGACGTTGTCCTGCGTGATATTTCAAGCGATTCGGATATTAAACAAAGTATGAAAGTACCGACTGCAGCGCTATCTGCTGGGCTGATTTGTGAATCTAAACCATCCAGGGTGCCACCCAAACGCATACAAAAAAGTTCATTCAAATCAGTCCAGCCGTTTAAGAGTACTAGCTGACCCGGCAAACGTTGTTTAGCTATACATATTATTTCTAGGAAACCTTTTTTTTTTTAGTTCAATAAAAATAACTATCAAATTATTACGTATAGTAAAAAATAAAGATTGATTGTCGAGGAGTGAAAATGAAGGGTGTATCATAAAATAAAAACAAAAAATTTGGTCTAAAAAATAAAAAAATTAATTAAGGGACCACCCTTAATATTTAGGGGGATCAAAAATAGAGATGTTGTCCGATTCATAGACCTAACCTAACACCATGACACGAGAATTTTATATATTACTAGCTGACCTGGCAAACGTCGTTTTGCCATGTATATCATTTTTAATAAAAAAATAGGGGTTGATCGTAGAGGGGTGAAAGTTAGGGGTTGTATGTATTTTTTTATGCTGTATCATAAAAAAATAAGTAATTTATCTAAAAATTAAAAAAAAAAAATTTAGGGGTGGACTACCCTTAACATTTAGGGGGATGAAAAATAGATGTTGTCCGATTCTCAGACATACACAATAAGCACACAAAATTTCATGAGAATCGGTCAAGCCGTTTCGGAGGAGTATGGCAACGAAAACTGTGACATGAGAATTTTATATATTAGATATAAGATATTCAGCTTTTACTCCGATTTTAGGCCTTAATAGAAATATTAATAGTTTTATTATAGCATAAGCATATTATCAATCGCCTCTTAATTATTACCTACAGTGCCGCTAATGCTAATTAAAGACTACAGCTAATTTAAGCCTTACATTAGCAATACCAATAAGGTCCCTAGTGAACGAGACAGGAATAAATGTTCTACTGTGTTTACTATTTGCTTAATTTATGTAGCTGATACCCGCGACATTGCCTGTTTAGTTGTACTTTGATTAATCGAAACCACTCAGTCAGTATTATTTATATATATATATTATATAATCAGTAATAACACTGTTTAAAAAAGCGCATTGTCCTTTTATTGTAGCGTAAATAAACTTAGGCGGAATGAGGTTTTTCGAAACAAACAAAAAGCCGGGAACGCACTTGCGAGCCTTCTGGCAATTGAGTGCCCACGGGCGGCGGTTCACTTAAAATCAGATGAGCCTCCTGCCCGTTTGCCTCCTATCACATAAAAAAAAACAATTCAAATAATAAATATTGTTATCAATATCTTTCGCACAAACGTTTGGAATACAATTATTAAGACAGACCGTTTCTACCTATTTATTATAGAAGATGTGTATCCAGTTGTGTTAAAGCGGTCGAACAAACGTATGTATGCATCAGAAAATTTCAATTATCAAAATAACTATGTGTATAAGTAAAAAACTCATATTAATCGTAGAAGCAGGCCCTTTTCATATTACCGTACAAAAATTTACAAATAAAGACGTTAAAACTAAAACACTGTATCTTATAATATACAGTGGGTTCGTAATTGTAACGAGAAATAGTTCATAGCGATTTTATAGAAACTAATAATTAAACCATTTTTGTAACATTTAAACCACGCTTTCGCGACTATTTTACGCTAAGCGGTCTCTACGTTGTTTCTACGCCATATAATCAAACAGTTTCATCATTTTGTGTCTCACTTCTACACAACGAACATGTTTACCACTTAAGAACTTGAAAAGCTTTTTAAATGGATTCATAATCATTCAATTCATAATCATTAAAGGGTTAGCACCGTAAGCATATAATGGAACATGTTTCTTACACACGGAAACAATAAAGTATGATGATGAAACAGCCATACTTTTTAATCCTATATGTGAAGGTGGAAACAAAGTACAAATTCGACAAATAAGCCTGATACGTATCAGCGATTAGCACAGCCATGATTCAAACACACGACCTTTGGAATCGTCGTAATCATTGATAAAAAACTAGTATTTTAAACAGATTGATATGAAAAAGGTACAAGGAAAATCGACCTATTCACAAAGTTTAATATACTGCAGTGCACTTAAGTTCGATAAACATGCCTAATTAAAATGGAATATTACACAAGTCATTAAAGGAATACGCTTTCTATATTCCAATAGGTAACATGTATGCATTGCGACGGCCCTTCAGCTCTCAAGTGTAGCGACACCAAATAGCGGGGAGCAAATTAATAGTATCAAAAAGAGGCGTATATCCTCACATTTATTAGGTAAAAACAACCTTAGTACAGGGAGATAGGATCTTAATTGGGAGTTTTGCGGTTTAGTACATAATGTTTTGCGCTAATAGGTAACAGGGAGGCGCGCTTCGTAGCAACTCTTTGTTTGAGCTGAAGAGTTGACTCTAATAGCTTGCAGCGGATCGGAGCTTAAAAATGGACTTTTAAATATTTTATGATGAAGGAAACGAGACCGGATGAAAGTTGAATCGACTTTCGTTCGATACTCGTTATACTAATTACTTTTTGGGTGTTTTATCGTTTAAGGTTTTAATAAAGGTTTGAAAATAATGATTTACGTTTATAAGAGAAAAACATATATACGTACATACATAGGTCCGTCTTAAATATATGTATCTTAAGGTTGTATTTTAAATTTGTAGAAAAATATATTTTTTTAAAGTATAATTCACTTCCAGATGAACAACATGGTTTTATTCCTCACTAACTACGTACTACAAAGTATGGATGGTGGTGCACAGGTTGATGACCTTCTCGTGTCTATGTTCGTTCCCATACTCCTCCGAAACGGTTCGACCGATTCTTATAAAAATTTTTATGCATATTCAGTAAGTCTGAGAATCGGATATGATCTATTTTTCATCCCCCTAAATGTTAAGGGTGGTCCCACCCCTAAACTTTAATTTTTATTTGTCAGACAAAACTTTTTGTTTTTGTATGATACAAAATGCATACAAAAAAAACATATTACCCTTAATTGTTACCCCACTGCGATCAACCCCTATTTTGTATTTGTTAGTTAAGAACTTATAACTTGAACTCTGAGGTTTATATAGAGAAAAAGTCACAGAAACCTAAAAAGTTTTCATTCCGGAAAACCGAACAGTCTCTGGGGTAGCATAGCAAAATGTTCCAAGTAGGTATGTACTAATAAGGTAGGCTAAGTAAAATCACATTAAGAAGAAACGTAGTTCGCGGGGGCAGCTAGTATACTATATATATGTAAGAAGTAATCTCGAGTATGATCGCTCGGTTTGGTCACAGTACACAAAGAAAAAATTATAAAGATTCAAAACAACTTTATAAATTTTGTCTCCTATAAGACTTGTAATTTGTTACCTATAAAGACGTGTGTTTTTAAAATGGCCACTTGAGACTCTCGATGTGTGATATCATCTCAAATAAAACTATCACTCACACAGCCAAATTAGGTATCGCTTAGTTTAATTGCATTGAATATTTATTTTTCTTTTGTAAATATTTGAACCTCTTTGTTTATATTGAGTATTTCATCTTTGGCTATTATTATTTATTATATTATTCTTTAGTATAATTATTTTTTATTAAATATAATATATTATGTTAGATTACGAAATAAATAAAGTTCCTTTTAGACGACATATTATGTTCGTAAAGGTAACACTAATTGTTGTATAATATATCATTATTTTATCATACATATTGATTAAACTTTCAAGCTTCAGAAAGATATATTTTTAACAGGTTACATACATTTATAGTAAAAGACAAAAAGCAGTACTTTAGTTATAAGATACATTTACATGAACAATTGTGTTAAGTGTAATCATTGTGAAACCCTGCAATAGATTTAAAAAGTTCACAAGAAGAAGTTTTTCCTTTTAGGTATTTGAATTCGATTTACTTTTATTGAATGGTATATTGCTACGAGAAGTTGTTGACCTATTTGCTCCTGTGACGACGACTATATACGTATACTTTCTGCTAAGTTTTAAAACTACAGTTCTACAATACCTCTATTTCCCGTGAAGTTCCAGTCGGCGTCGTGTGTGTGTGTGCTGCGGGCGTATGGCGCTCGACGGGACCGATTTCCGACACCGCGATTGTTCTCCGACACTGCAAATATGCCTTATGTTCCACAAAAATCATTTTATCTCCACTAAAATGATAAAATATATCCCCTACATATGTACATGATATTTAAAATTCTAGTTTAATATATATGTACTTGAATTGTACCGTTGTGACGCCTACTTCGTTATGTAGATTTCGAAAGAAAATACATAGACATAGATTAGAAACGACATGCTTCAAATACTTCATTTAACAAGATTGTTGGTCTATGCTGGGAACTATATATTTTTCGCCAAAAAAGTTTATTTTATTTATTTGACACTGTTGCAAAAAACTGTACAATTATAATAATCAGATAATAAGGTGTACAACGGGTGCCTTATCACTTTCGAGCGATATCCAGGAAACAACTATAAGGGAAAATTAAATTCTATAGTGCAAGAAAAACAATTTACATAAGATAACTTAAACATAAAGAAAACAACTAATAACAATGTACGAATCATAAAAATCCTGAAAATATGTTAGGGATAGAATGTGGACAGGCAATGCCTGTACAGTAGAGATTTAAAGGAAGATAGAGAACGTTTGGTAAGAGACAGGACATTTTAATACTAAGAAATCTATTATATGAATATTACCATCTATTAAAACCTCCGCAATGCCGTATGCTTGATCTCTGGTATTACTCGCGAAACATTGGTAGATTCCTTGGTCGTTTATTTGTGTGTTTTTGATATGTAATCTTAGTCTGTCTTCCGATACCCAGATTCTGTCTGTGTCCTTCACGGTTTTGCCATCGTGTATCCAATAAACGACTTCAATGGGATGTCCAGAGATTTTACAATCCATGCTTATGTCAGCGTTTAATTTCGGTCTTATTGTATCGGGTCTTATTCGGACGGATATAGGTTCTAAAAAGGAGAGAAATTAAGTAACATTTGAATATTATAAATTTGACGAATATTTAAATGATCGTAATCCTTGGGCTTGATTTGCTCCAGTTCAAACAATTTGTATGACTCAAAACTTAAAATTAAAAAGAGTGGCGGATTTTCTTACCAGTTCTACTTGCCCACTCTACGCCCTTGACTTGCGAACTGGTAGTAAATGTAAATTTAGAATTAATTTAACTTCGTTTCTGAAGTTCATAAGTGTACTTGTTTACCTATATGAATAAAGTTATTTTGACTTTGGCTAACTCGGCATGAGAGTCAATCACTTAAAATAAACTGTTGCTTCAAATTTTTTTATTTTATTTATTGAGAAAGATTTACAGCTTATAACTAACTGACTCACTAAATATAAAGTTCTTTTTATTTAACAAATATTTTCACATAATTATTAATTAAGTCCTTAATAATTAAATCGATTGGTAACAATAAAATCATTTTAATACAACTACCTATCTATATCTATCAAAGACATCAATAACTATCAAGTAGTTGAGGAACACTTAGGGTAGTATTATTTATATACTTATAATACATTCTTTATTCCACTGAGAAACTCAGATGTCAGAGCTCTTCTTGACACCACACACGAACATGTCAATCAACAGTTAAATTGTCAAACTTACCCGCCGCCCTAACCATAAAGCTGTTCCCTCTGTAATTGGTGTTGACTTTAGGTGTATACATTAGGTGCATTTAAATCTTTGTTTTTAATTAAATACAAAGATGTGAGAAATAAATAATATTCCGACTACATTGCAGACAGTAACATCTCTGATAACATATAGCAAGACTTAAAAGTAAAGTCGTTATAGGAAAGATTACTGCTGAATTACAAAGAAATAAACAAAGTTTTATAATAGTCTTAGATGTTGCGACTTTTACATATTGTCCGTACAGTAAAATGAATTCGCAAATGTTTAGAGATTTCCAGGTTAAACAAAAATGTTGACACCAAATGGCACTTTTCGCGAGTTGTTGAAAATAGGACACTGCGGTTACTCCACACAAAAAGTCCTTTTGTTTGACCCATCTGTAGTTCTTAGAAGCATTACTTGACCTATATACTACGCTGGCAGGTTAATAAATTATTTATTAAATGAAATATTATATTCATAAACACTCTGGGACTGTTTATATAAATGTTATTGATATGTTCTGCCTACATAACTCAGTGGAAAAATCTTAATATTTCAGTTTGGAACAGAGTATATTATCTATTTATGAAGATATATTATCAGATCAATACTCCGTCTTGGGTCATATTAAAGTGGACATTACTTATTGTAGTTTTAAACTTCGTACGTATAAATTCTTTAGAGTATACCTGTAACAAGTAGTGTGAAGTGCACAGACTCTGTTCCAGCAGTATTGTTCAGCCAACAGACGAATCTGCCTCCATCTTCTTTTTGCACGGACTTGATATGCAGCAGGCCACCTAATGTCCTCGTTCTGGGCCATAGCCCTGACTTTTCTATAGGTATTAATTGTTCATGGTGCTCTCGGAACCATCTAAAAAAAGAATACGTTTGTTTTAAGATGAATAAGTATGCTTTAACACATATGAATCACAACTTTGCTTAGCGTAACTTTAGTAAATTACTTAAAAAAATTATCTAATTAATTGTAAAGTGTAAAAGTCACTGTCGTTCGTGTGGCTTTTGTCATAGTTTATCCTTCGCCGGATGGCCATTTATTAATTTAATATATACAAACCATCAAAGAACCGCGCTTTGACATACAATAACACTATGTTGCTCAGGCTTCAGAGTATAATAATATATATTTGATAAGTTACAGACTACTTGAACAACTCTCATAAATAACGTAGACAAATAACGGTCCGAGCGATATCGTAAACACTTTATACAGCAGCCTTGCTATTCTGTAACTCACTTATCGAACTCACACAGCGGTTTTCGCAACGGCGGACGGCGCTCAAATCAGTCGTGAAGCAGTCATTTTATGATTTGGCATTCTGATAAACAATAAACTACAAGCTCCCTCCTTATCAGAATGCCAAATCATAAAATGACTGCTTCACGACTGATTTGAGCGCGTCCGCCGTTGCGAAAACCGCTGTGTGAGTTCGAAAAGTGAGTTACAGAATCGCAAGGCTGAAGTGAATTTGAAATTATGTAAAATCAAGCTTTCAATTCGGCCTCGCTCCTTGTCAAACTGCGAGCGAAATAAAAACTTGACTTTCATTGCAATAAAATTTAAATCAAAGTCTAAATGATCCTAGAACTTTCGTAAAATTCCTAACTCTCCAATGGTTTTGAACTTAGCACAAAACATACCTACAGTATATTGAGCTTTAGTTTGCGGGTGGATCAAAATTTTTGGGGTACATTTGTGCACAGAAGGATTCTCTTAGGTCCATTGATCTTGTCGCTTTTTGAGATAAAATCAAGTGTGCCATCTTCCAAAAACCATTTTCCTTTACATAATAAACCAGTAAAAAGTGAGAAAAGAGACATGATAAAGTTCTATTTTTTTATTTCATATGAAGCTTGTGATTTTGTGAACAGTGTTGGCCTGGGGGCTTTATCCCTAAGGTCGTAGGTTCGATCCCCGGCTGTGCACCATTGGACTTTATATGTGCGCATTTAACATTCGCTCCAACGGCGAACATCGTGAGAGAAAGTCGATGGTGTTTGTCAGGCAAAGGAGGCTGATCAGGTGATAGCAAGTAGGTACTTGCTTATTGTGATTGTGAAGCTCAGACGTAATAATGTTGTAGTGCCACTGATATTTTTTTAAAAAAGGTCATTAGCTATTAAGTCAATAAAACGTGGCAGAAATAGTTCAGATTATCAGTTGTATGAATATAAGCCATTCAAAGGACACCATTACAATGTCTTTATTGTTAAAGCAAGCTTTCTATTTTCAACTTTTGTGCATTGCTAGAATCTGGAAGCAAACGTCGTCTAATCCTCCAGCAATTTCTCAGAACCAAATGGCTGAGTTGAAATCTTCAATGTTCCGCAAGTTTTCCTTTTGGAAATAGTTTTGAAAGAAATGCTGAGTTATTTGCATTCTAAAGGATTTTATCAGCAGCATGGCGCTTTAAATTGCTTAATTTTCTTCCCTAGAGATTTTCTATTTTCACTTATAAATGTCAAAGCTTCTATGAATGAATAGCTGGTAGAACATCAAGCACTATTGTGATGAATAATTGTAAATTTGGTTTTTATCATCGAGGTGGGCACTGTGAGTACACGAGTATGTGGGAAGTCCCACAGTCACGAGAGATCCAGATAACCCTAATATCAACCGTACTCAGTGGCTCCTAGGCTCACTTGGGCATATTTAACTATCATTCCACTAACGTATTCAGATACTTCTTTTTTATAAAACAGGAGGCAAACGGACAGGAATCTGATGTTAAGGTGATACCGGCGCCCGCACTAATTTTGTTGTAAGTATTATATAAAAAAAAAAAATTAACTTAATTATTTTTAAAAAACTCTCGTCAACGTAAAATATTTATAGGATATCGATATAAGTGTTGTTTGATGATTTGATATTTTAAAAGAGTACCGATAGTTTTTTCTCTCGGCCTACACCCTCTGTCTTCTTTGCCGATGAGTAGGGATGCCTACAAATTCAAATTTAATGACGTGGAATAAGTAATACATGTATCTTATGTTCCTTAATAAACATATTTTATTTTATTTTTATTTTTAATAAATACTATGCAATAGCTTTACCGCGGCAATCCCCGAGTGCCACACGTTTTATTTTTTATTTTAAAAGATTCAGTAGTAAATCGCGGGTGTTAGCTAGTAAACATATACGAGAAGAACTTAAGTGAAAAGTTTGAAATGCAATGTTAGTTGAGCTTAGTAAATTGAAACAGTTTCTTGACAGTTGCGGATGAAAGTTTCAATTAAATTAATATGAAAACCGAGTTGTTTAGAAATTGTTTATATAATACTTCGACGCACCACAATAGTTAATTGTTTTCAATTATAGTCTAGGTTTCGCTTTAATTTTTTTTGTAATAGGAGGCAAACGGGCAGGAGGCTCTCCTGATGTTAAGTGACACTGCCGCCCAGTGATACCACATTGCCAGAAGGCTCGCAAGTACGTTGCTGGCCTTTCAAAAATTGATACGCTCTTTTCTTGAAGTCGAATTGGTTCGGATATACTTCAGTGGGCAGCTGGTTCCACAATGGTGGTGCTCGGAAAAAACTGCCTTAAGAAACGCCCAGTTGTGGAACGGATGTATTTTGTATTCTGCCTTGACGTCCGGTAAGCGGTGGCTTAATTCGAGAATTTCTATATATTGCGGCCGGAATAACGTCGTTAGCGCGTTTCTGAGTTGGACGTCATCGCAGCGATTTGTTAGCGCAGGTTTATAGATGTCGCTACAAGCACATGGCGTATAGTTCGGATACAGCCAAATAATAGCTATAGGTTAATAGCCAATAGCTTAAAAAAATTAAAACTACGTATTCAATTATGAAATTACCAAATTTATTTAATTACTTACGGCACTTGAAACGAGCTTTTCGTTGCCGTTCAACGAGAGACTGTCGTTTCAAGTTGACAAATAACATTTTAATGGTAATTCGCGTTTAAATTCGTTAAAAAGGGAAAGTTAATTTCCAAATCTTTCAATTATAGGTATATAACTATAAAAAAATACAGTAAAAGTAATTAAACAATGGCATTATAAATTTCGTCGTGCCCAATTAAAAATCCTGGATTAGCTAATTCAGTTCGTATAAGTAAACTTATGGATGTTCCTACTGTTCTTGATGAAATGCCAAACAAAGTTCCTTAACAAACATAAAACTGTAACTTTTAATAAAGTGCTAACCGCCGCCAATGGACTCTGGCAATGGGCGGCTTGCGGGTGTGTTATCGACCTTTCAGAGAACGGTATGCTCTTTTCTTAAAGCCTAAGTCGTATCGATTCGGAAGTAAGTATTATTTAAATAAAAACACGCTTTTCTAAACGTTTAAATTTCATGTCACCAATATGTTCTGGTGTTTACTTCGTAAGGCTGCTGCCTCGAATTTTGCGGGCAGCGGGGCGGCAGCGGCGGCGGCGCGGGAGCGGCAGGATCTTATGCGTTAAATCAAATGGACCGGTTCTCGAAAACAGCGGCGTGGCAGCGGCGCGAGGGCGGGTAACGAGAGGTGCAATCGCCCGCTCCCGCGCCGCAGCCGCCGCCGCCCCGCTGCCCGCAAAATTTGAGGCAGCAGCCTGAGGGTTAATATAATTTACCCTCCTAATTGGGCGTTTTATTTGAATTCCTTTTCACCTGTGCAGATTTAACCACAATTTTATAATCCCCACCCGTGATTCGATTGGCAAGCAGCGAATTAATTTCGGCTGGGTAAAACACCCTCGTAATGAAATTACCTGGCTACCTTTTTTCATATATTGTAACATAAAACAGAAAATAATTTGTATAATGTAAAATTTTACTATTAAAAATTAACTATCCAGTCAAACCGTAAAAATGCTTGCTGAAACAAAACGTTGCGTTTTAAAACTATAATTTATTATTTGCGTAGATACCAAAGTAAAATTGTTTTATTAAGTGTTAAGTGACCCACTTTGTACTCATCTCTCTCTTTTACACACCATAAACTCAATTTGACAGAAAGAGACGAAAGAGCACAGCTAGACGAAACTTTTCTTAACAAAGGGGTAAATTTACAGGCTATTCCATACATGGCAGGTCATAAAATATATTGGTATTATAGAGATTCCTTATCTAATATATATATATAAAACTGTCGTGTAGCGGTGTTTGTGGTTAAACTCCTCCGAAACGGCTTTACCGATTCTCTTGAAATTTTGTGTGCATATTGGGTATAACTGAGAATCGGACAACTAACAAAATCTATTTTTCATCCCCCTAAATGTTAAGGGTAGTCCACCCCTAATTTTATTTTTTAATTTTTAGACTAGACTTTTTTTATAGAACGGGGGGCAAACGGACAGGAGGCTCATCTGATGTTAAGTGATACCGCCGCCCATGGACACTCTCAATGCCAGAGGGCTCGCGAGTGCGTTGCCGGCCTTTTAAGAATTGGTACGCTCTTTTCTTGAAGGACCCTAAGTCGAATTGGTTCGGGAATACTTCAATGGGCAGCTGGTTCCACATAGTGGTGGTGCGCGGCAAAAACTGCCTTGAAAAACGCTCAGTTGTGGAACGGCAAAAATTAACTAGTGGCTTCAGCATAAGACTCTCATGCATTCGTAAATTCGAACCCTTGTCGGTACGGTGAAGGAAAACATCGTAAGGAAACCGGCATGCCTTAGACCCAAAAGGACGAAGAAAACGTCTTAACTGTAATGTTGGCTGTAAACCCATTAAAGTAGAATTCAAAGTAATGGATTTCGAAAGACGCAATGATAACGTATTGTTCACAACAAACAATTCTTGCCATCGCAAACATCTAATACAGACTGTATCGACAACATTTGTATAAACTTTCGGTCCATGTACGTAAACAGAACATTGTTTTCGCGAGTGTGCATTTGTTCACGTCAGTTGCATTTGTTTGCTCAGCAAAGATGTAAAACCCGTTTAAATTGTCAGATGCATTACGAAATATTTTTGGGAATTCTTAATGTTTTTGTTTTCATTAACAGTTTTTGTAAGATTAACTTAACCAGTTGTATTAGATAATAGTGAAGTTTTATTACTGCGTGAATAGTTATTTCAAGACAAATGAAATAAAAAAAAGGTGTGTGTTCTTATGAAAACGCGTTAGAAGTTATACTTCTTTGGCTTAACAAGATAATAAAGCGTAACAAGTAAATATTTAAAAAAAAATATCTTTCGCCTTATTCTACACTTGTAGAAAAAACGACACTAACAATAGAAAAAAGGTATTTAATTGAAATTTTAACATTGAAAGTTGTATTATAACGCATTATCTAGTTAAATAAAGTTTATTTAAATATCACAAAAAAATATTTCTACCTAATTAAATAGCATTAGCATAGTTACTAGTTAACTTAGACTATGCTAACTTCAGGGTGTCGGTTTTTTGTGACGGTGTGCGGGTGTCGGTTTTTTGTGACAGTGTGCGGGTGTTGCTTTTTTGTGACGGTGTGCGCGCGCATCGTAAAGATTTACTCTCATCATTTTTCACTAACGCACCAAAAGAAGTATAACTTCAAAAAATATATAAAGGTAGTTATGTAACCTTACATATTTAGTTAAGTTACATATTTATACGGTTAAACCAAATTTTAAATTTGACGACTCATTGGTCTAGTGGTTAGTACCCCTGACTGCGAATCCATGGGTCCCGGGTTCGATCCCCGGCTGAGACGAACATCGATGTGATGAGCATTTGGTGTTGTGCTTAGGTCTTGGGTGTTTAAATATGTATTTATACGTCTATCTATCTATAATATGTATGTATATCCGTTGCATAGTACCCATAACACAAGCTTCACCAGCTTAGCATGGGGCTAGGTCAATTGCTGTGAATTGTCTTTAAAAAAAAAAAAAATGTTAGTCATCGTTGCACACATGCCCATGGATATAATATTCTTGTTTCCGATAATGTCCAAAAAGGTCGGACTTCACTTGTATTGAAGTGTCACTTAGATTTATTACCCTTAGATGAGCCAAATTAGTTTTTGTTAGCGTCACAACCCCACCAATCAAGTTTCTCGAGCAACAAATCGACATAAAGGTAACAACCGAGCATTTACCGGATATATTAAGAAACTTTAGCCCTGCGATTCTGTAACTCACTTTTCGAACTCACACAGCGGTTTTCGCAGCGACGATCGCGCTCAAATCAGTCGTGAAGCAGTCATTTTATGATTTGGCATTCTGATAAGCAATAAACTACAAGGAGGGACGTTATCAGAATTTGAAAAGAGGAAATTTATATATATAAAAAAGCTCATGTTTTAAACCATTAAAGCCAGTTGTTACCCAGCTTCAAACAAAGTGTTTTATTTGAAAACATCTTATATAATTTATGTATGCTTGTGTATTTTAGAACTTAGTTTAAGAAAAATCAAAATTACTTTTTTTTCTTTATCATTCGCTAGATATAAAACCCTAAATATTACTTTAAAAATAAAATATAATAGTTTTTTGCGAATTAGAATGGACTAAAAGGGTGACACGAATTATAATAAAAAATATTTTTTTTTGCTTAATTAATAAGCATCCTATGTTTTTGTTTTTTTTTTTACAAAAAAAATGTTATTTATTTAGTTCTAGCTCCGGCCTACTGTAGTAAATAAAATATCGAAATATTGGTGTACTATGCATAAGTAAATGTGTGTGGTATATAATTTAATATAAATGAAATGAGTGTTAGAAAAAGATTTGAAAACAGCTTCAGATGAGTTTTTACGATAAGAAAATTTTAAAACATTATACGCTAATGCGATATGCCTAATCCTTACCTAAAAGTAGGAACTGGCCACGCATGCGCAGCGCAGGGTATCCGCACATCATGCCCCACTTGCACTCGTCGCGAGCGCATTTCAACTGCTGCTCGCGGGCGTACTTGCCCCTTTGGTTCTGTTACTATAACGTGACCTGAAAAGAAATTCTAATTAATAAAGCCATTTCCTGTGATTGAAACCAAGCACTTATCATATTCTATACTATAATGACTTTACGCATATACTTTATGGTAGGGGAGCCCAAGAGGGGATTTCGGGATTTACTAAAGCGCGGCAGATTAATATATAGGGGGATACCTTGTACCCGGTTAAGTACCTCCACAAAATATGAGGCCCATATATAAGGCCGCCCGTGAAGGAGACAGGATCAGATTAGTAAAAAAAAATTGACCATCAGAAATTCCCGAGCGCGTCAGATTAAGGTAGGGTGAGTTAATTACATCCTAAAAAGTGTATATTCCACTAATCTGACAATTTGAAAGTGTCGTAAAAAAGGGGAGGGCAACAAAGTTAAAAAAAAAACGTCATCTCGACATTCTCGAGCGTAGCTAATTTTTTTTTATTTTGAAGGAAATAATTCAAGAATAATGAAAAATATATAATCTGACGATTTCCGCAAGCCGAAATAACAAAAATTCGTCGATAAAGTTAAATGCGTGCAGCTGCGTGATGCCTACATTTCCTTAAACCGATCGGAATCTACTAAACGGCGTTCTAAATATTTCCCTCAAAATTACATTTCCTGTGAATTTGAACCGATTCGGACCGATAGATTTTGAGAAATTTTGAAAAATCTTAAAAAAATAAGAAATATTTTTTTTTAAAGTGGTTTCTTTATCGATCAACTTCAAAAACTAATCCGCCTTTGAGCTTGAAAAACCACGTCGATCGCCACCAAGCTGGTCAAAAGCGGTTGATTCGTTCGAGAGATATCGTGAACGAAAGAAACCCGAAAAAAGTGTTTTTTCGGGATTACTCCGAAATTTGTGGTTCGATCAATTAAAATTACATATGAGGATGATAAAACTGCGTCGAATGCCGCCAACCGCGTGAAAATTGCTTGATCCATTCAAAAGTTATTGCGGTTTGAAAATTCCAAAAATAGTGTTCTATGAAACTTCTATCAGACTTTCGAGCTGGGAGAGCTCAAATGCATAGAAATATTATTTCTTTGAACTCAGTGAGCTCAAAATATCAATATTAAGCGCCCAGGAATGGAATTAGCGGGAAGTTGCAGGGATGGCCCTTTAGGTGAACCGTTTTTCTAAATTTTTTTTGTCAGATCAGGCGAATCCCTCTAGATAATCGTCAGATTATGAGACAGTACGTTTAGAACATAAAGATGAACCACATATATCTTAATCTGACGCGCTTGAGTATTTCAAAATTGCGATTTTTTTTGCAAATTATGAAAATGGCCGTGGGTTTGCGTCCCATCGAAATCGTCAGATTAGTGAATGAGTGCTTTTTTTTTGGTGCACTTAATACTCCCTTAGAAAATCTGACGCGCTCGATAATTTTTATTTTTTTTTCATTTTCAACCCTTAAATACAACCACCCGCATCATGCAAACGATCAGATTAACATACGTACATTATTAAAAATACGTAGGGCATTGATGCTATCAATATCTGACGCGCTCGAGGATGTCCATGCAACAGTTTTTTTTTACATATTTAATAATCTATAGCCGCTTCCCCCACCGATGAAAAGGTATATATCATATAACATTTTTTTCTTCTTATTATCTAAGCTTTGCATCCCAATAGGTCTCTACGACGCTCGAGTAAATCCCCATTTAGCATCGTGGGCTCCCCTACCATTATGACAGTTTTTATATAAACACGTATTTAACTAAAGAATCTATTTAAAGTAATATCTGTAATAAGACTTATGAACTTATAAAATACAAAATTGTATTTATCTATAATTACAGTAACTCCTATTTTTCTCCTGTTTTGTGATATTGTGATGTAATTAAAGTACCTTTTATTAAATTAATTATGAGGATATTGATATTTTCCACCTCACCAAAGATGATGTGAGGAAATATGTATTTGAAGAGGCGGGATGACTGACTTTGTTTAGCAGTAACAATCTAGTTTTTTTCTTTGAAATAAGTATTAATTGCCGTTTGTTTAATGTTAAATTTGTGTATTAATGTACTTCCTTATGTTTTCTGTTGCATATATATTGTTTATCTATGTAATCTGTTTTGGCTTTATATATTGTCTAAGTGTTTTGTTTTATAATATGTATGTTAGCTGGAAGATTATTAATATATAAATAAATAAAACTCACCATAATATTTACTAGTGTAGGTGTGATCAGTAACTCTATCCCGTACCCTACACCGGAATACGGTGTAGCGATCATCTGGGCTGACCGCAGCTATATACAGTGAGCCATCATCTAGACGCTCATAATTTGGACCTAAGAAAACAAAAAAGTATATATGTATTATAGCTGATATAAAAATGTACCTACTACATGTATGTATGAGCAGTAAACTATGGTTGGAATGTAGGATATTGCAGGCGAACAGCCGTATCTAACGCGTCGTCAATAGATCCAAGACGTGCTGTTTGTTGTTACTTGAAAATTATATCTTTATTATTTTGGGCCTGTTTAATACAGAAAAACATGAGCAGTTGGCCTAGTGGCGTCAACGTGCCACTCTCGTCCCTGAGGTCGTAGGTTCGATCCCCGGCTGTGCATCAATAGACTTTCTGTCCATGTGCGCATTTAACATTAGCTCGAACGGTGAAGGAAACATCGTGAGGAAACCGGCTTGCCTTAGAACCAAGTCGACGGCGTGCGTCAGGCACAGGAGGCCTATTTGATTGACAAACGATCATGAAACAGATACAAAAATCTGAGGCCCAGACCTAAAAAGGTTGTAGCGCCACTCATTTACTTTCTGTTTTATTTTATTACAGAAAAACACTGAATAACACTTGACCATTAATAAAATAATATTAATGTAATAGACACAGAAAATCTATTTTCGCCAAATGGACTTGCTACGTTTACATTTGGGTTGCAAACGAAAGATAAGTATGCTTCAAGACTGGACCTTTCTTAATTTAATGGGAAGGATATAGCCGCTAGGCTTCTTAATTAAAAATCGGGATAAAGCCACGAAATTTTCAAGTTTTTACAAAGCCTAAGGTTTGAATGCGACTTCAGACTTCTTTCAATTCCAACTTCTTAATATAAATCCGGAATTGAGTTTTATGTAATTCTCGAATTTTATTCTCTGAAAATGAGATATGTGACGAAACCGTAATTTCGCAGCTCCTTACACGAACTGAGTTGAAAATTCTTTTGACTCCTTTTTGGTAAGACATAAAGGAAAATTGTCTTTATATAAAGATATTTTCTTTATTACATTTTGGCATGTCTAAAGCTTATAAAATACGTAGTAATAACGATTATTCCTAAAAGGAATTTAATATAATATTAATATAACAATCAAATCAATCTTGATTAGAAATAGAAAATTTTACTTGGAACTAACTTTGACAGTTATGTCAAAGTTTAATTATTCTTACTTTACAATGAAGTTCTGTCGAAAGATGAAAGTAGAAAACTTTTAATGAGGTTTTAAAAGAACTGAAATGGTTTTAATTAGCACGAGACAGAAAAAAATGATATAAATCTGACGTTTAAAAAACCTTTTGGATACTCCTATACGAAATTTGGATAACATTGAAGAATAAGAGGCAAATCAGTGAAGATCGGAGCCCATTTGGGTATCGAGTAGACTTCTTTATATTTTCTTTAAAGATTCTGTAGACGTAACCAATACGACTCCTTTTAACTCCTTTCTGACGTTCATAAGTGTATGAATAAAGTTATTTTGAGTTTGAGTGTACTCACCTAAGTAAGGGAACACACTGGTGTCGTCATCCGCGAACCACTCAGTCGCGGCGACGCGTTCGGCGCAATGTGGGGGTACCACGCAGCGGAGAACAGCCGCGTTGCCCGACATCACGTACTCATCTGATACATGCACCTCCCATGGCGCATTTACCACTGTAGATTAAAATACATCTTATCTTAAAATAAATAAATTAATTGGGAATTTTCGGTTGTAAAAATAATAGTAAAATTTACGAATATGTTCGAAGTTCTCTATTAGTTATATATCTATAAGTGAACTGGTAAAATCATTAGTTAAAGATTATTAATTATTATTAATGTATAATAATTGAAATCGATATGATTCTTTTTATAAACGTTCAGAGACACGATTTTTAGTCCACGTTTAATATAGAAGTCAAATAGAAGAACCAAAAAGATGTTTTAAGAACGTTACAACGTTCAAGTGCCCCGTTAAAGAAAAATAATAAATATATTTGTTAAATATTTACAAAGTGTCTTTAATAACCGATAGAGTGCTACTGATTTTTATGAAACAATATGATCTCAATATTAATCGTGTTTCCCATTTTTAATAAGAAACAATTGAATATTTTTAACATTTCATAAAGATTTCAAATCTTTCAACAATTCTAAATCAGAAAGAATTCAATTTATTGTTACTTATATGTATTTCATGAAGTTATGATTGTCAATATAGAAATACAAATAGAACATTTGTTTTGTTTTATATAGAATTAAGTGAGGGCCAGCGGTGTATCCCAAAAAAAACCAAAATGCGTTGAATTACTTTAATTAATTATTACTTTTACAATAATGACTTAAATATAACTATTTAATCGGCCCGATATTAGGTGCACGAAGAATAATCTATATTATAAACTTAACTAGTTGAGAATTGACCGGTCCGATATGAGGTATCCGATCAAAAGCTTCTGATCTCTATTGTCCATTTCCTTTTATAACGGTGTTGCGTAAGAGGGGTACTGGTATTGGGTATGCGGGGCAAAGGGAGTGCAATGGATATGTAACAATAGTTACTTATCACAGAGTCAACAGTTTTTGAAGTGAAACTTCTTTATCGGTGTTGGAAAAAAATTAGTGTAACATTTTTTCGTTACGCGTCACATTTTTCGGTTACGCGCCATGTTGCTTTTTGATGTCAAACTTCTTTATCGGCGTTGGAATGAAACTTCTTTATCGACGTATGGGAGAAATTTTGTAGCAAATCGTCACGTTTTTCAATGATAGTAATAATTCTATTACAATTAATGAAATTCTATAATAATCTTCGTAGTAATAAGGTAAAATGAAATATTTGTATTCATGTCTATGATAATAAAAGCCTTTTGTTAAACTTTATCTAATTTAACGAATTTCTGTAAAGTTGCATATAGTAGATCATTTTTCGAAAAATAAGATCTTATTTCTTAGTTTCACTACTTACGTGTGTACACCTAGTACACGCACAATTTTTTTTAATATAAACTCCATACTATAATATCGTGATTAATAAAAATACTTACCCGCGTGCACGTGAATGTTTTTTGATAGAACAGCGAAGCCGCTCTTCAACCTTAACCGACACCGGTACGTGGCGGTATGGACGTCACGCCGGAAGTGGTTAGCCGGAAATGGGGGGAACTCGAGCGAACCATTAGTCAACACCCGCCGAAGACCCGCTATTGACGTCACTGGCGTATTGTCCACCAGTAACCAGTCCAGCTGGAAAATTATATTTATTTAACTATATTTATTAGTACTGATAAATTAAAATATTATATATATATATTGATTGTAATTTAATCTGTAAAATAAAATATAAAAAAAATGTTTATTATGGAATATAAGATACAGGTATCACTTATTCCACGTCATTAAATTGGAATCGGTAGACATCCCTACTCATCGGCAAAGAAGACAGAGGGTGTAGGCCGAGAGAAAAAGCCGGCGTAAAAAACTCTCGGTACTCTTTTCAAATAGCAAATCATCATACAAAATGACTATGTCAAACAACACTTATTTTAAAACAAATATCGCAAATTAATTAGAAGTAGCCTGTCTAGCACTAGTCCCAGGCCCTTTTATCAACTAGATAATCGTTAACTTTATAGTAAGCCTTTTTACACAGCTTTTCTTTAATACATTTCTTAAATTTATTAAAAGGCAGTGATAAAAGAGCCTCTGGGATTTTATTAAAGAAAAGTATCCCTTTTCCCAAAACAGAATTACTAATTTTAGATAGTCCAGTACGGGGAAATTGCAGTCTGCGTTTGTTCCGAGTATTAACATTGTGCGTATGTTCTATTCTAGTAAACTTATCACTTTTTTTGTATACATACCTAATATTTTCATAAATATATTGCGAGGGAAAGGTAGGTATATTAATTTCCTTGAATTTATCTCTAAGAGATAGGGAATCTCATTTTAAATTATAGATTGCACGAATAGCCCTCTTCTGCAGGATGAAAATAGTTTCGACATCAGCAGCATGACCCCATAATAATAAGCCATAAGTCATTAAGCTATGAAAGTAACTAAAATAAACAAGTCTAGCTGTATCGACATCAGTTAGTGAGCGAATTTTTTTAACCGCGTAGGCTGCAGAACTAAGTAATCCCACAAACAGAAAATAATATAAAATCATTTTAAAAATGTTTCTCAGTTAGCGCGCCAGCTACTTTGATTTCCAGAGCCCTAACTTACCACCGAACTAACTCAGAAGATGTCAGCTATCAGTAAAAATATATATTCCACACTTTAATATGAGAATTTCAAGTACTTTATTTCTCCATGGAGTAGAGGCTTATTATGGTTTTGCACAGAGTTTAATAAAATGAACTTGTATTCCTAGTGGATGTCGTGGTCTCATAAATGAATATTAAAAAAGTTGCTATGTGCCGTTTCTCGTGACAGTACATAAGCTGTTATTTATAATCCTTTGGGGGATATTCGGGAATGTTATAAGCCCCAAAATTTCGCTCCCTCGCGAGCCTTTTACCGCTGATGTCTTTTCTACGGTTTACCCGCAATTTTATAAATATTAAATTTTTAAAGAGAACGTTTAGTTAATTAATACTTACGGATTTATATTATATATGTTGTTGTTAAAAATCCTAATTAGTAAATTAGGTTAGGCTTAAATTACTTATTAGTCTTAAGTTATATATATAATACTAGCTGACCCAGAAAACGTTGTTTTGCCATGTATATTATTTCTAGGAAACATTTTTTTAGTTCAATAAAAATAACTATCTACTATAATAAAAAAGGGGTTGATCGTAGAGGGGCGAAAATTAAGGGTTGTATGTATTTTTGTATGTTGTATCATAAAAAAATACAAAGCAAACAATTTTATCTAAAATTTATAAATAAAAATTTAGGGGTTGTTTAGAGGGTTGAAAGATCTCAAACTTACTGAATATGCATAAAAAATTTCATAACAATCGGTCGAGCGGTTTCGGAGGAGTCTGGAAACGAACATTGTGACACGAGAATTTTATATATTAGATTTTGTCGAATTTTAAGTCTGGAGACTTTTGCGTAAAAGATCTTTAAAGTATGTGTTACAGATATATTGTATTTACAGACTTATTGTTTAAAAATTAAGAATACACTATTGTATAATTTTAATATATCCAAAAATTATAGGCTCACTACCAGAAGGTGTAGGCTTTGCTTTAATGGAAGAATTTCCTCAAAACCTTCAACATTTTCCAATAGAGCAACACCACAAAGACATAGTAAAAGACTGTAGGGGTTTATATATAGCACACATTTTGTATTGCGAAAGTGTATAGCGTACAATTGGTAGCGCCGGTCGTACTTTCCGCGCGCAACAAATATTAGCTACTAATAATGTTTAATTTCCTACACACTCCTTAACTAGGTGGCCACACAGGCGCACACCTAAAAGTCGGTATAATTAAGGTAAATCAATACTGAAACTCCTCATTAATTCACAGCTGCTCATTTTTGCATTTTGTTAATTATTTGACGCTTCTGCTATTGTATATCTTGTCCCACATTTCTATCTAGGCCGCTGGAGAAATATGACGTTTTTTAAAGATTATAATTTCTAGAATTTCCAAGTTTTACCCGTGACCGCGATTCCTTTAGGTCAAACAATGTTTATTTACTTAGATTAGAAACGGATGGATTTATATACGGTCTGAGACAAAATTAATTTACGCATGGCGTGAAACACTATCGTTGAATAAATTTGTATGGGAATGACATCTCATGATGGATTGTAAGAGTTTTATTGATAACTAACAGGCCTGCAATAACTAAGTTATTCCTTCCAGATGTTGTTTCGGCTTTTTCGATAATTAAACAAAAAAACCAACGGGATTGATTACCTAGATGTTGACAGGATTCTTGTCAAATCTTAACAGGTTCAGGGTTAGGTTAAGAGGCATATTTATGAAATTTGCTGTAAACGTTATAAAAATAAAATATGTTTATTATGGAATATAATACAGGTATCACTTATTCAACGCCATTAAATGTGTCTCGGTAGACATCCCTAATCATCGGCAAAGAAGACAGAGGGTGTATGCCGAGATAAAATGCCGAAGTAAAATATTCTCGGTACTCTTTTAAAATACACAAAAAGTTGTTAAAAGAAATAGGGAGTGCTTAATCATCTGGGTGACAATACCATTTACTTAAGTTGTACATATACGTAAGTTATTTATTACCTCCGACAACATCATCGGGGATTGGGCAAAAATATATATAGAAAAAAAACTGGCCTGGTAATTTTTGTACCGCCTAACAATCAATGTCGTATTGAAATTATGAAAGAAATCGATTTTATGAAAGTAATACAATTAATACAAAATAAATATTAAGTTCATTACTTTATTAGGAAATTACCACAAAAAGTAATAAGCGTGTTAAGGTACGCAAACTATTTGACAACCAATATTTATGTTAGCCTCATTACCGACATTATTGTACATTTTTAAAATTTAAAATACGCCATTATCCGTATATTCTAGATATGTCGCAGCCAACATAATTAGCCGTTCAATTAACTGCCTAGCCGTTTAACTAGCGGCCTGAAAGATGTTCAGCCAGTTGATCAAACAGCTAGGCAAATGACTTGGATCGATGACAATTCATAACTTGCCTAGCCTGTTGGCTGTTAATTTAAATTTAATTCCACTTTCTTCCACTCTCAAACTCGAAACGAAACTCTTCAAACTGTCCAATGGCGTCGGCAAACCACAACTTTGATGGTGTTTTCCAAATTTTGAGAGAGAAGAGCTCCAGAAGAGTGGAGCAATTTAATTTTAAAAGAAATATTTTACAAGTCATATGTTTCACCTTTTTTATTTCTGCCAAATAATGGCTCTATCGTTCGAATGGCCTAAGCAATAGCCAGTCAGTTTATTAATATTATGTTGTAACAAACGCTACGGCTGAATACGCTAGTTTAGTTAAAAGGCTAGGCGGTTAATTGAACGGCTAATTAAGCTAGTTGGCTGCGACAGATATATCTCGAAAATTAACCACCTTCATATGAATACATTCTCTTATTTCAGGACAGTCTTTACCATATCGACGGGATGAACAAATGTTTGACAATTACGAAACCCACTAACATTTTTTTCGTCTATTTTCCATATTTATTTCATGTTTTTAAATACCGAATAGAACTCCTGGCGCGTAAAATAAGCCAAGAATTTGGATCAGTAATTAATTGATTAATGAAAAGGGAATAGGATTTTAATCATTACAGTTTTAGTTATTTGATAAATTTTCTAGTACATAATTAGATTTGTCTAATTGAAATCGGATACAGCATGGTCTATGTATCTACTATTCTCATTACACGCAAACACCTCATACTAGTGCAAGAGCCAGTTGATGTAGCTGTTCTTGGAGTAGGAAATTAAACACTTAATGACTTGACTATAATTCACTGCACTGACTTTACTTAAACTCTATAACTTCAAACTTAAACAAAGGAATTGCCCGTGCGCATGTGTCTCACATTTTTTTATAATCTATTCCCTACTCCGACTCGACCATCTCACTTCGGAAAGATGTTCGACGTCAATTCGTAACAATTCGGAAACAACCGTAAAAAAACAAATAAAAAAACATAGCTTTATCTATCTTCTCTATCTATAGATATATATCTTTTAATTCGGTAACAAAGAATTTTTATATTATTCTCTGGTACACAACAAAAACCTTTATGCAACCTGCATTGGATGGAACAAGACTATTCAATTCACTACAGATCGAGTTTGTGCATACATCTTTTGAAATAGTTTGCGATTGACCGCACCTGTGGTTTTGTTTCGCTTTTCGATGTTTGTACAATCCCCATACTCCCTTATGCGGTTAACAAAATTTATTGATTAATTCATGAAATAGAACAAATATTTTTACGGAAATAATGTTTATTATTTCACAAGGTTCATTGACCTCGAAATATGTTGGACATAAGATGATTAATATAATAATTCAAAGTGTGTGGGGAGCAACTTTGGACTAGAAGTACTAATAATATGCCTGTAAGCTGTGTGAATAACAAATACAAATACATATAACACTTAGTAACATTTTATCTAATATATAAAATTCTCGTGTCACAATGTTCGTTCCCATACTCTTCGGAAACGGCTCGACTGATTCTTATCAAATGTTTTATGCATATTCAGTGAGTCTGAGAATCGTCTACTATCTATCTTTCAAACCCCTAAGTGATAAGGGGTGTCCACCCCAAAAAACTTTTTTATTTTTTAGACATTTTTTTTGTTTTTGTTTTTTGTGATATAGCATACAAAAATACATACATCCTACGATCAACCCCTATTTTTATTATAGTAGATAGTTTTTATTAAACTAAAAAAAAGTTTCCTAGAAATAATATAGGTACATGGCAAAACTACGTGATCATGCCGGGTCACCCAGTAAAATTATAAAAATAAAGAAAATTTATTTCAAAGTCTGAGGAGTTAGCTGTGTGTATAACAAATACAAATATTACACTTAGTAACATTTTATATACTATAATCTATGACTGAATATTGAACTATAAGTAGGCTGACTAGACTGCCATATAACATACCAATTTAAATAGGTATTAAATATTACTTTAACTGAGCGAGTAACTTTGATATTATGAAAGATTTTTACGTAATATGTATCAAATTTGAATGACACATACCAGTCTCTTGGTAGTACAACTTTCTTTATATAAACACAATGTGTTCTAATATGATTGCGAAGAATAAACATATTTTTCATATAAAAATATCTTACCTTCATCAATCTTAATTTACGTTCAGGAAACGTGATAAATGATTCTTGAATGAGAATAGATTTAATAACATTTTGTAAGATGTCTTATTGGAATGTGCTTTTTGTTATATTACGAGTTACACGTTAATTAAAGTGACTTCAAAACTAAAATCTAAATTGAATTAAAAGTTGCTTGCAAGTTTAATTTCTTAGCAATCACGTTGAGATGTATGAAAACCAAGGTCTTGTGAATTTTCTGAATAAATCATCACAATCTATATAAATAACAATTAATCGCAATATATTTTTCTCAGCGCAAAACTCGTAAATGGTAAACTCGATAGATTACAATCTACCGAATAATAATACGTTAAATTGTAAGCAGTACGTTGAGGTTCACAATCTTTCGACACTTCACAATCTCGCGAGATAGATTACAATGTAACGGTATTTACAATTTTACGGTGACATATACATATTAAGTTTCTCATGTAAATAAATATATTCTTTTTAATAATGAGAAATAAATTCTTTAAACATTTTATTCCGATCTTTGTTCAGTTTTCAGCTCAAGCCCTCGTAATCGTACGTAACGTAAACCAGAACAACAATAGTACTAACAAAAGGATTATTGCAGATTAGAACACTGTAAAATGATTGTATAGCTGATTATGTTAACAAATGCAATCTCGTGTGTTCGTAGCGAAGGAACCACAATGCGTTCGTTCGCAAGGCACTGACAATACATTCTACAGCTACGCTGAATAATTGGTTCGCCAACAATAAATCTGTTCTAAGCTGTATGCTTTGTCATCCCTCAGTACAATTTATATTAAATATCCCATCTCCCAGGGAACGGAGTCCGCGATTTAATAAATGTCACGTGACATAAATGAATTGAGCGAAGAACGTATTTCCGGGTCTTTCGCAGTTTTAGTTGTGGTTGCAAACTAGAACATATATCTGAACCTAACCAGATAAAATATAATTATTATTTCTTTTTGTTTTGTGTATGTTCTTTAATTACCTAAGACGTTTGTGCTAATTGATATCCCATAACCGCTATATTTTAATTGATTATTTTAAAAATTGTGTTCTGTGCCTACAGAGTCGAAGAAAGAGCAAGGATTGGAACACGAGCCTTATAAAACGTGGATTAAAATACAGTGTTTGTTACTATAGTTACAAGGTTAATTACATATAAAAGGAATGGTGGCGAAGATAACACAGTACTAGAAATTATACCCGTTTTATGTGCGTACCTAATGGGTTAATAATTTTGCTACGAAATTTTACTGAAATATATTACCTAAAGTATTTATATTTTTTTTATTAGCGGAAGTTTTGAAAAGAAGCGTTTTAGATATTTTTCCCTACTGAAATACATGTGCGAACTTTCTTCCACCGCACAAAATCGGCTAGTTACTACTAGTACTACTACGTACTACTACTAGGGTCAAAATGACTTTAGTTGCCCCTTCCAAAGTGTAGTTTCATATGGAGAAGGATGGACCAGAAACTTCATTCTTACTCTTTTAAACTAGTTTTTACAATATTTTGTATAAATTGATTTGATTTTTTTTTTTAATGGAGCGCATCGTGCAATCAGTCTTCTGACTATGAGCAGATGAGTTGTAGGATGGTTTGCGGGTGGAGATATTCCTCATTAGGAATATCTACCATAATAATATTAGCTCAGTCAATGCTGCTGAGCTCCAAGGTTCTTCGTCTTTTGAGTCGGATTATATACTCCGGTAGGGTGAGTTGAACAGCTAGGTGGTTAGGATGATATTCCAGCCTAGTCTTGTACTTCTGAGCGTATACTTTTATTTCCTCCTTGACTATTGCTTATGAATTTACACACCCTGTGAGTTTGTTCGATAGTGCCGTGTTGTGCTCTAAACCCGAATTGGTGATCTGGAATTATAGAATTTTTATGAATAGCTTGCGAGAGCCGTCGTAGTAGTACCTTCTCCAGTACTTTAGAGACGATCGGGAGAAGACTTATAGGTCGGTAAGATGAGACGTCATGTGGCGATTTCCCGGGCTTATGGACCATAATCACCTGAGAGACCTTCCATAGCGCTGGAAAGTATCCAACACTTATAATCCGGTTGAATAGGGTCGTCAAGTAAGTTATAGCCTTACGAGGTAATTCGGAGAGAACCTTTTTGTCAATGAGGTGAAAACCTGGTGCCTTCCTATTCTCCATTTGTTGTATGGTTCTTTGTACCTCCCTTGGTGTTACTATCTTCAAGGGCAAATGCAATTGGAAATCCTGCTGGAGAATGTCATCTATTTCTGCCTCATCCGACCCAGGAGTGGCTTCATTTGGAACAAATACTTTAGCCAGATGGTCAGCAAAAGCATTTGCTTTTTCTAGTTTAGATCTAGCCCACTTGTTTCTATCTAGTCTTATAGGTGGTTTAGGGTTTGTGGGTTGATTCAGATTTTTGCATGCCTTCCAGAGAGAGTAGTCGGTGTCTGTTGTAGCTGTTAACGACATTAGGTTTTCCTCAATAGTAGCATCTAGATTTTCTTTTATAGCCTGTTTAAGGTGTTTAGCGTAGATGTTTAGTGCTGTTTTATCATCGGGATGACGACTATTGTGCCACACTCTACGTAATCTTCTCTTCTCCAGGATCATGTCATGAATTTCGTGGGGTACAGAAAGCTGTCTGGTCTTTTTCTGAGCCATTCCCTCAGAACTCCTCCAGCATGCGTCCTGCACCACTCTCGTAAATGCCAAGACTGCACTATCTATTTCCTCCTTACTCTTTAGTGAAATCCGTAATTGTAGGGCGTCCTCTACGAGGTCACGAAACATTTGCCAATTTGTTCTCCTGTTATACAGTTTTGGTTTCCGTTGGCACTCCAGAATATTGGTACTAATAGTTAAGATCACCGGGATGTGAGCTGAAGAACCATCGAGAAAGCCATCAATGTGATAAAACAGTCGTGAGAGACCCTTCATTAAAAAGAAGTCCAGGACATCAGGCAATCTTCCAGGGTCGCTTGGCCAGTGAGTTGGCTCGGGGGTGGAGATTGTTGTTAAGTGGTTTTTATCAACGCATTTTTTAAGTTCTCTACCACGCGTGGTAATCAATCTCGACCCCCAGTGCAGATGCTTTGAATTCCAATCTCCACATGCTATGAAGCGTGGACCCAGACTGTTAATATATGTGGTGAAGTGTTCCTCAGTTATAACGTGCTTTGGAGGACAATAAACCGAGGAGATACAGAAATTCCTATTTTCATCCTGGATATTTATTGAGGTGGCTTGAATGGATTCCGATCGAAATTGTGGAAGTTCATAGTGTTCAATGGAGGATCTAATTATAATAGCTGTGCCTCCATGTGCAGTGCCATCGGGATTATTTGTTGTGTACACATTGTAGTTTTGTACATGTATTTGGCTGTTGGATGTAAGGTGCGCCTCAGAAATAAGCAAGGCATCCAGATTATGCATTTTTAGCAGGATTTCAGCTTCATTTTTCTTAGGCGATAAAATTCTCTGGATGTGTCGAATAAATTCGTCATGTATGGGTATTATTATAAAAAAAAAATTGATTTGATAGTGATATGTTAAGACCATGTAACTAGAACAAAACAAACTACTATACTAAATTAAAATAGTCGCATGGTGTTATAAAAAACAATGTAGCCGATAACTAAATTATTATATAGATACATGGTTCTCACATATTCACATATATATACAATTACAACCAAATCAAAGCCCTAGTAGTAGAAGACAAATTGTATTAACAGTTGATTGACTTTTTATCATAATGACCAGTCCTTTGAGCCCAATGCACTTTGATGCATGCACCAACAAACCAATGAAGTTCCATAATTAAGCAAAAAGGTTGAATTAACAAAGGGGAATCCGTTTTTAATAACCCTTTATAGCCAAAGGGTTTAATTTTTGACATGTCCACGCTGCAGGCAAATTTAGACATGGTGTAATGCACACCGATGTAATTATGCGTTCAATATAGGAAAGAGATGTGGTCTGTTTGTAAATGCTGGCTATAAATTGGTTTTCGGTGAATGCATTTGATATTAATTAATTTTATAGTA